AAGTAAATATTTGTAAAAGTTTGTTTTTCAAAATTCTCATTAAAAAAGATTTACCTCAGTCTCCAGGGCAAAAGGGCTGTGTTAATACCCATTAGTGACTACTCCCACACCACCTTCGAGACATGCAGTTCAGGTAAGACCAACCGACACTCTCTCTCTCAGAGCCAGCTCTGCCTCTCATTCCTGCAACCCCTGATGATTGCCAGAAGACCTATGGTGCTTAGCGGGTCAGAAAAATGTCGATAGCAATCACAAATGTGATTGAAATCCCAACCTTTTTATATATGTCACAACACATTCTAAAAGGACCAGGGCTTCCACTAAGCAGTTACCAAATTTTATGCCCATCCCATAAATATCCTGAAGACTACTAGAAATCCTTCTGCAGAAACTTCTTCATGAGGCCACACCAGAATCAGCTCCTGGATAAATGTGTGCATCAAAGAGGTGATACCAATTATTACATAATTATTTGCTCCTTGCAGATATTTCCTAAAGGATATCCTCCTGCTGTAATCAGTAACCTTGGACTCATTGAAAACCTAATAGATGAAAAGAACATCAAGGAATGGACTATCAATTCAACAATCACAGTTCGTGCTTTATTGAATTCTGTGTCCAGTGATGAGCTGGTAATTATGAAGATAATATGGGACTTTTAATATAAACATTATCACGCACCCAGTATATCTGGGTCTTTTTCTTCTTTACTTCTAAACCTAGTGCTTATAAACAACCATCATTTTCTTTAAAGAGAAACAGATTATAAGTTCCTGGCCATTTTTCTCTCCTTGTTTACATACATTGTGAGTGTGCCAGTGCTGGGTTCCTACCGGTTCGGACCGGTTCAGCTGAACCAGTAGTGGTTTGGTGGCCTGGATGGCTGGAATCGGCAGCGACCCAGGCCTGCCGTGCTCCTGAGATGGTTCACTTGCTTGTTTTTTATTACATTGCGCAAGTGCACACGAGCGAACTGGCAGTAGCGGCTGCCAGAGCCCACCCCGGAGTGTGCTATATTCTTGTTATTTTACTTTACGTGTCCTAGAATTTTCTAGGCAATGGACTGTCCTTCTTTTATTGTGCTGAGTTTCAGAGGCAAAGGATTCCAGGCATTGCAATTCATAGAAGTGTAGGTTAGAAAGAATCACAAGGTTCATCATGGAGGATATTGGACTGATCTTTGTGATTGCTATATAATTATAATACCCAGAACTCAGCAAGCACACACACACGTACATGCACACATACACACAGACACACACACAGACACACACACACACTCTTGCTATTTCAACCTACTTGTGCAGTTGAAAAGAGCAATCCATCCAGATGTATGAGGCCAACTTGCCACTTTTCAGGTCTGTTGGGACTGTAATTTCCAGCATTCTGGTGTATCCCCAAATTCTAGAAGTGGCTGTTTTAGTACATTTGGAATACATTTAATTTGGGAAAACTAAAGCAACATAAGATTGTAGGTGGCTTGCTTCCAACTCTGGAATTATTTGTTTTAGAGAATTGCAGTTATTCAGCGTTACACTGAATCAGGAGCACAAATTGATAGTGATTTTCTGGATGTGCTTGGGCCATACATCTGTCTCCTGAATGAGGGCCAGCTCAGCATGATAACTGAAAGGATGATTAAGTGAGTGAATTCTTTCAACATCTATTTATATATCTATTTCTTTGTATCATACCTTTATTAGGTGGGTTGGAAGGGGTGAGGTGAGGTGTCTTGAGAGAAAGTGACTAGTCCAATGTCACCCAGTTGGCTGTAAAGCACTGTGGATATATATATATATATATATATATATATATATATATATATATATGTGTGTGTGTGTGTGTGTGTGTGTGTGTGTGTGTGTGTGTGTGTGTGTGTGTGTGTGTGTGTGTGTGTGTTATTGCTATATCTTATTGATGTGGCCACAGGTATATGGATGAAGAAGAGCCCATCCCAAAGAAAATCAAAAATAAGCTGAATATCTGATGTTGCTCCTTTCAGCTAGTTCTTCCGGTCAGCAGCTTAGGTGTTACTAAAAGCACTATTTTTTAAAATCTTGTGGAGAAGTGAAATTGAGGCAAGATCCCTTCCTTTTTCTTACCTTGCCTTTTCTTGGCAGGATGGCCACTCTTCTTGACCCATCCAATTGCTCCTCAGCCATCAAGGATCATCTCTATCCAAAAGCCAAGCGGGCTTTTTCAGATCGTCACTATGAATACAGTGAATATTATAACCGGATCAAGCCATTTCTGGGTAAGCAGAAATATTGATAGAGGAAACACTAGTTGAGGTTTAGAGCTTGTTGAATAACAATTTGAAATCAAGACTTGAATTGCCTTTAAACTGCATCTATACAAACAATATAGTCCCTAGATTGGGGAGGGAGTGTGTACAAAAACATTTGAATGGATGGATGGATGGATGGATGGATGGATGGATGGATGGATGGATGGATGGATGGATCTTTCCAGTAAGGCCATGTTTAGTTCAATATGACTCATACAATAGAGTAGGCTAGGCTAAAACTGTGCCAAGTAATTTGTGGTCACAACGTTTTCTGTCCTTAGAAATTGGATGAACTGAGTAATTAGATTAAGTCATGACTTGGTTTTTTATTTGGGTATTGCATGCTCCTTGAACATAGCAACAGGCTCAGAGTTGTGCATGCTATATGAATTACATCTAATTGAAATATTATCATATTTTTCAGAGTATAAGATGCACCTTTTTCCCTCAAAAAAGAAGCTGAAAATCTGGGTGCCTCTTAAACACTGAATACAGCATTTTATGCCTCGCCCCCTCACAAAATGACCATGAAGAGCAGGGGTGGGTTGCTCCCTCTTCGCACCGGTTCGCCAGAAGGGTTTGGTGAAATTCAGCATACGTTTTAGAACCCCTTCAACTAGTGGGACAGTACCGGAACACTCACTCCCCCCTCCCCCCTCGCTCACTCCCCCCGCCCATCTGGTCGCTGCTCGGCACTTGCTCGCTTGTCCCACCCATTCCATCGGCACTTGCTCGCTCGCTCCCCCACCCGTCCGCACCAAGCTTGCCCCCAGTCACCACTCACTGATTGACTGGCTCACCAATCGCTCCGCCTCTGATATCTGCTTTCGTTCTCTGCTGCCCGAATGAGTGAATGAGGCAGGCAGAGAATGAAAGGAGATAGCGTAGCTGAAGCAAATAAGCCTTCAGCTTCCTTCTTTCACATGTTTGGGCAATGAGGGGATGGGGCTTTCTCGCATGTCTTTGGAGAAAGAAAGAAGGTGTGAGAAAAATCCCACCCTCCCTGCCCAAACGTGTGAATGAAGGAGGCTGCAGACTCTTTTGCCCTCTGCTATAATATCTCCTTTCGTTCTCCGTCTTCCTCATTCACTCGTTCGGGCAGCAGAGAACGAAAGGAGATATCATAGCTGAAGGCAAAGGATTCTGCAGCCGCTTTCATTTACACGTTCGGGTAGTGGGGGGGCAAAATTTCTCGCACACCTTCTTTCTTTCTCTGAAGGCGTGTGGGAAAGCCCCCCCCCCAGCCCTCCCCATTGCCTGAACATATGTAAATGAAGGAGACTGCAGGCATCTCACTATTAGGAAGTTTTTCCTTAATTTCCATCCATTGTTTCTTGTCCTGTTATCTGGTGCTTTGAAAAATAAGTTGACTCCTTCCTCTTTGTGGCAACCTCTCAAATACTGGAATACTGCTAACAGAGAAATTGCTCTGCAAATTCATATTTCAATTTTTAGTTCTTTGTTTACTGTATGGTTGACGTGTTCTTACATTTGCTATTGAAATATTTTAGTGTGTGTTTTAAGTAATTAAATTATAAAAAAAATAAAAATTGGAAAAGAACATCCCCTCACACCCAAATGCAAAACAGTTTCAACTGGCACAGAGCAGAACATATATGTGTAGAGTAGACCTAGGAGCATATAAGGGAACATGGAGGTAATCTAGTCCAACCCCTTCCCAAGGCAGGAGTCCTTCCTTCTGTTTCAATGGCAGACATGAGGGAAATGGTGTGCGTGTGAGAGAGAGAGAGAGAGAGAGAGAGAAAGAATGAGAAAGAGAAAGAAAGAAAGTTGGAGAGAGAGAAGTAAGAAAGAAGGAAGGAGGGGGGTAAGGGTGAAAGAAAGTGGGAGAGATACACACAAGAAAGGAAGGAAGGAATGGAGGGAGAGTGATAGAAAAAAGAGAGAGACAAAAAGAGAAAGAGAAAGAGAAAGAGAGAGAAAGAAAAGAAAGAGAAAGAAGGAAAAAGAAAGAGAACTTATGACCACAATTGAGCCCAAAAATTTGGTTGCTAAGCAAGAACATTGTTAAGTGAGTTTCACCACATTTTCCAAGTTGGCCATGCCCACTCGGTATCGTGACCGGCAAGCCACTCTCACCCAGTCACATGACTAGCAAGCCACTCCCACAAAACAGGCCACATCTACAGAAGAGGTTCTAAATTTTTTTGAAACCCACCACTGATGCAGAACCTGTAGGAGGCTTTCAGAGAGCTCCTGGGAACTGGGGAAGGCAGAAATGAGTGGAAAACGAGCCACTTTTGGCTCAATTTCCCCCCCCCCCCCACCCCCTATAAGCCTCCTAAAGGCTATGCATGCAATTTTTTTTACAAAAAATGGGCCCGTTTTCATAGAAATTGGGCCATTTTTTGCTCGTTTTTTTGGGGGGGCACCCCTCCAGGGACACTCTGCAAGCCCCCTAAAGCTATTCATATCTTTGGGGTGGGGGAAACGGGCCCATTTTCACAAAAAATGGGCCGTTTTGGGGAGGTTTGCAGAGTGCAAAAAAACCCCTTTTTTAATTTGCCTCTTCAAAACCTCATAGTCTTATACTCCAGTGTGTCTTACACTCCAGAAAATATGTTATTTCTTTGTTAAATTTTTATTTATTTGTGAAATTTATTTGCTACCTATCTTGCTGTGTGGCTATTCTAGGTGGTTTACAACATAAAAAGGAAGAAATGAAGAGACTGCCAACAGAACAAAAGAACCATAAAAAGATGGATGGAAAACAGAGGACAAATGGGGGGAGGGAACGTATGTCGGGGGGGGGGGTGTCAGACGATCTTCTGCAGGGCTGGGCAAAGGAGTTTGTTTAGCACCTGATGGACAAAGTCACTTGGATCCATTCTTAGTTGGATCCCATGCATGGAGATGGTCTATGTGAGATGCTCAGGGAGGGTTTTTGCCCACTTCTCTAGAAACAGTTTGGTCCTGTTGGCCTTGTGAAGTGGACTGCACCACCGCCTGTCAGTTATTTCCTTGTCCCTCCTGGATGGTGGCTAGCGGTTGGGTCCAGGCACTGATTAATATGTCCCTGGAGGGGACATTTCCAGATGTTTTTAAGGAAGTCCTAGTGGATGATCAGTTAAATATGAGCAACAGTGTGTGGCAGCAGGCAAAAAAGCTAATCCTTGCTTGAATAATAGAGGCATAGAATCAAAACCACCAATTTATAAAGCCTTAGTAAGGCCACACCTGGAATACTGCATCCAGTTTTGGATTACACATTACAAAAAAGATGTTGAGTCTTTGGAAAAAGTACAAAGAAGAGGAATTAAGATGATAGAGGGCCTGGAGACAAAAACATATGAAGAACGGTTGCAGGATTTGGGTTTGGTTAAAAGAAGGACTAGGGAGGTTAGCAGTATTCCAGTATTTGAGAGGTTCCCACAAAGAGGAAGGAGTCAACTTATTTTTCAAAGCACCAGATGGCAGGACAAGAAACAATGGATGGAAACTAAGGAAAAACTTCGTAATAGTGAGGGCAATTAATGTGGAACAGCTTTGCTTCAGAAGTTATGGGAACTTCATCACTGGAAGTTTTTAAGAAGAGACGACACAGTCACGTGTCTGAAATGGTCTAGTCTCCTGCTTGAGCAGGGTGTTTGACTAGCATAGGGTTCTCCAACCTTTTGGACCTCAGGGACCACCACATTCATAATTTTAAATCCCACAGCCAACTGGAGCAGGGAGGCTCAGCCGCATTTTGGGCCTACCTGTCTGCTTCTGCAAGGCCTCTGGGTGGGAGGCCTCAGAGAAAGCACCTGGTCAAGGCACACAGCCTGGAAACTTCTTTTGTTTTCCTTCTCTCAAGAAGCTTGGTCAACCTGAGTGAAGGAAAACGAAGAGGGGCAGACTGATTGTGGCTTGCTGACATTGGTGGGAAAGTCGGTCCCATATTCCAGAGCTGTAGTAGTCACAGGCCAGTGCACCAGGGTGGAAGAGCTGCTCCGGGATGACCAAAGGGCCAGTCCTGTGACTATTACAGCTCTGGAATATGGGACCGGCCCGTGGGGTGGCACATGCAATGTGCAACTTTGCAGGTGGTACAACATGCAAAAAGGAATTCAGCCCTTGCTAGCCAAAACGAGGTAATGGTGTTGTTGCAGTGGGGGGAGCAGCCCAAGTGGGCCGAAGTGGCAGTGGTGATGGCTGGAAGGTGCAGGAGTGAAGGGCTACTTGCATTTGCATGGCATCAGCATTCTGCCTTCACTGCAGTATATTTGTGCCAGCTGGTGGCATCAAGTAGCCATCATTTCCTACTGCTTGGGACTCGGGGCAGTAAACCACATCCAGGAAGCACTACAGCAGAGAGAAGCAGCCGGAGTCAACCCTAGCTTTGATGTCCATTGTGGATGCGAGATCATCCCCCTGCAAACTCTCGTCCCTTGAGTAGCCCGGGTGAAGTTTCCCACACCACTTCAGTGAGCGCTCCTCAAGAGACGAGAGTTTGTAGGAGGCCGATCTAGTGTCCGGGATGGCTACAAGAGAAATGTTCATTCTCAGCCATATTTGATATTTCTAGCTGCAATGAACAGCAGAGCTAGGGTTGACCCCAGGCACTTCTCTCCGCTAACAGGCGGCCAAGCTAACTGCCTGAAGGACCCCATCCTTTCCCTTGGAGTCCAAACACTGAAGCACGAGCAGCACGGGAAACTTCGGCTGGGCTCCTCAAGAGAAATGCAAAGATTGCTCTGTGCACCAGTTGGTGACCACTGGACTAGAAGACCTCCAAGGTCCCTTCCAGTTCTATTCTGATTGATGTCTGGTGAGAGCGGCATGGGGGTAAGGCAACCATCCTCGCTCTCCTTGACTTCTCAGCGGCTTTCAATACCATCAACCATGATATTCTTTTGGGTTGGCTGTGGGGGCTGAGCAGCACAGTTCTGCATTGATTCAGCTCCTTTCTCCTTCTCAATGGCTAGCATTGACAGGAGAGGTGTAGCCCTCAGTTGTTATTTTGTGGTTGCCACTGGGCTTAATCCTTTACTTCTTTTCAACATCTATATGAAACTGCTGGGCAAGATCATCCGACGCCATGGGTTGAGCTATTTGCAGTTTGCTGATGACACCCAACTCTATATTTCCGCTCTTGGTAACCCAGGAGATGCTGTGGTTGCCCTCCCGCTGAGCCTGGAGGCTGTGGCGGCCTGGATGGGGGACCACAGGTTTTGACTGAACTCTGATTAGACTGAATGGCTTTGGGTGGACGGGGCTCCAGCATCTGGGATTTTGTCATCTTTGACTCTGAAATGGGCTGGTATGGCTCCAGAAAGATCCAGTTCACAACTTGGGAGTTCTCCTGGACTTGTAACTCCTGCTCAGGGAGCAAGTGGCAGCCATGGCTAGGAGAACTTTTGCACAACTTCGTGTTGTGCAGCCTTTCCTGGATCAGGATTCATTGCACTCAGGCATTCAGTCCGTGGTCATCTCATGGTTGAACTATGGTACTCTACATGAGCCTACCCTTGAAGAGCATTTGGAAGCTATTTGCTCTCACAACCTCTAGGGAAGTTGGGATGGGCCATCAGTCTCCATTCAAACGTATCCACCTGGGCACCAATGCCAAATTGGCCATGCCAGTTCTCCAGGGTTTCCGTGCTTTCCCACCCCCTCCAGTTATGAACATAGCTTCTTCCCAGTTTTTCTTTTGCTCACCATCAGAAAAATGGTTGCCCAATCCCCATGATAGATAACTCTTCCAGGTAGATTGTTATTGCAGTTCTGGCTTAATGTTAAACCTGCTCCGACTTGGTCCCTTAGCTAAGAAAGACCCTCAACTCCATTTGTAGTGAAAGGTATACTTTTACTAAAAGTCAGGTGGATTACAATGTAGCAAAGCCAGAACTGAAGTTCACATGCCAAAATTTCGGGTTAACTTTTCCCATCTGGTTCCTCTCCTCTCAAGATTCCTTATTGTCCAATTACATTTGAATAAATTGTTTTGGGAACAGTCTCTTCAATGGGTGGCTGGTAAGCCATTGCATTCCATTCCCAAGCTCTGACCTTCTGTCTCTGGAAGATACGATAAGCTGGTAGCTTTCCCCCCTCCTCATCCCACTCCTCTCTCCACAGTTCATGGTAGACAGACAACTTGCAAATGCAAAGCTCAAGCCTAAGATGGCAACTCTGACAAATCTGTTTGCACAAATGAAGTGTACATTTGCAAATCAGAAAGTACTTTTGACATGACAATAAGCGAAACTATTTTGCCTCAAAGACAATTTTATAAGTCCAATAAATCTGTCCATTTCAATGCCTATATGGAGTATATAGTATCAATTCAGTGTTTCTATCTACTATACATTGTATATTCCTCTTAATACAATATATGAACTGAAGCATGGACTTTTTCTGCCTAATGTTTACATTTTGAATAGAAATAATTTCCTCAAATGCAATACATGATTATATGTTAATTTTATGAGTATAGATATAAACTTTTCTTCAGTATCCTGAGGTACTCTGATGCAGGCAAATACAAGGCTAAATTTGGAATGGGAACATGAATTGTGTTGCCATAGGTTAATTGAGTTTGTTTATTTGTTTGGAAAAGATACAAGTATTGTAAGTCTAATTTGCATAGAGAATGTAAACAGATGAATTTCTACTCCATTTTAAAACTATATTGTTATATTTCACGTTATGTTTCCTCTTGTCCCATCATTTCTTTCATCTTTTTCCTGGCAAAACTTCTGTTAAGGTGGCAAAGATTGAACTATTGCAAAATCTATTTTTGATGGGTAGATTTAAGGGCTCTTGTCTCTCTATTCCCACCACCATCATTTCACATGGATTGGAAATTTACATTTTATGACCAACACTACTTAAAGGAGCGTTTCCGTGACTTATGTCATATGAAACACTCCTTTAAGTAAAGTTAGTCATAAAATGTAAATTGAAGTACCCTGCAACTAGCCCCAAGATACAGCTCTGAAACCTGAAAGCTCACCGTGTATATTGGTTTGAAACAATTTAGAAAATGTGCAGCTATTAATAAAACGTGTTGAAACTATTTCAAGAAAAAAAATCCCGTTGCTCTTTCATTTGAGAGGACCAGTAAAGAATATCAGCTAAATTCTTCTCCTTGCTTGCAGGAGGTGCTCCAGGTGAAGATCTCAGGGCACTTAGCAAAAACGATGTCAACATGGATATTCAAACTTTTTTGGGCCTGAAAAGCAGCTCTCTAATGGTGAGTGGAGTTTAAAGTAAAAGGTGGCTGAAGTCAGTTTTGCCCAGCCATTCTGGCAGGGTAATTATAGGAGCTTCTCCAAGAATCCTGAAGACAAACAATTTGGATGGGGGGAACAAGTCAGTACCACATTTCTCAGGTTTTGAAGTTTTGTTCAGATTTCAAAGCTTCCATGTTGGATATTTTGAATTTTAAAATATTTAAGATTTTAAAATTTTTAGTGTTTCAAAAAATCACCTTCCAAGCTCTAATCAGCCAAGTCAACATTCTAATCAATGTTGGTAGTCCACTTATGACCACAATTTGAGCCCAAAATTTCTGTTATTAAGTGAGACATTTGTTAAGTGAGTTTTGTTCCATCTTACTACATTTCTTGCCATAGTTAAGTGAAACACTGCAGTTTGTTAAATTCATATATGATTATTATTATTATTATTTTATTATTATTACTTAATGGATTTATAGGCCGCCCAATCCCGGAGGACTCCGGGAGGCTTACAAAACAAAAGAAAGTAATTAGTGAAAAAAGAAAAGAAAAACAATATAAAACATCACCATGCACCCAATCTGATCGGGGCTGGACCTCAGTAATGAGGTCAACAGCCCCAGGCCTGCCGGAATAGCCAGGTTTTAACGGCTTTTCGGAAGGCCATGAGAGTGGGTAAGGTCCGGATCTCCAGAGGTAGTTCATTCCATAGGGTCGGAGCGGCCACAGAGAAGGCCCTCCTCCGGGGAGCCGCCAGCTGACACTGCCTGGCTGACGGCACCTGAAGGAGGCCCACCCTGTCCGATCTCACCAGCCGTTGGGAGGTATGCGGCAGTTGGGGGTCTCGCAGGTATCCTGGTCCTAAGCCATGTAGAACTTTAAAGGTAATGACCAGCACCTTGAATTGTGATCGGAGACCAATAGGAAGCTAGTGCAGCTCGCGGAGGATAGGTGTAATGTGGGTGTATCTTGGTACACCCAATATCGCTCGCGCTGCTTCATTCTGGACTAATTGTAGTCTCCGAACGCTTTTCAGGGGCAGCCCCATGTAGAGCGCATTACAGTCGTCTAGTCTTGAGGTGACGAGGACGTGAGTGATTAAGGCTTCCCCATTGATTTGGCTTGTCAGGTTGCAAAGCTGATCACACGATCCTGGGACATTGCAACTCTCATAAATATGAATCAATTGACAAGCATATGAATTTTGATCATGTGACCATGGGAATGCTGTAATGGTCATAAGTATGAAAAATGGTCATAAGCCGTTTTTTCAGTTCTGTTGTAACTTTGAATGGTCACTAAATGAACTGTTGTAAGTCAAGAGCTACCTGTAGCATTTTTAGCAAGGTGAAGTGTATAGAATAGACCAGTGATGGCTAACCTTTTTGCCATCGTGCGCCAAAAGCGGGGAGAGTGCGGGGGGGCCTGCGTGTGCGTGCCCACACCCATAATTCTATGCGCCCTCCCCCAGCAATGTGCACAACGCCTACCTGCATGTGCGAGTGACACCCCCCCCCGTGTGCATGCGTGCATGACCCCTCCTCCCCCTGCTTTTGGCACGGGACGGCACGGTGGACCCATTTTTTGCCCTCCCCAGGCTTTAGAGGCTTTCTAGGAGCTTGGGGAGCGTGAAAACAGCCTCCCCCCCCCTCCCAGAGGCCCTCCAGAGGCCGGAAACAACTCAGACTTCTGGTTTGCATGTGGACTGTTTTTTGCCCTCTCGAGGGCGAAAAGCAGCTGAAAATCAAGGCTGAAATCAGCTGGCCAGCACACGCATGTGCACCAGAGCAGACAGAGCAACACCTCGCGTGCCCTCAGAAATGGCTCCGTGTGCCACCTGTGGTTCGTGTGCCATAGGTTCGCCATCACTGGAATAGACTATCATCCTTAGTTGCACATATCACATACTAATTGTAAGAATCAGTTATGGCAAATTATTGTCAGCATGCCACAAATTCAACCATAGGATGCTTCTATTCTAACCATGTTCACACTAGAATCTACATTGCTCTATATTCTAAGATATTTATCTCTATTCTAATCAATCAACTTGCTCAAGCAGAGCGGGAAGATATTTCATCTGGCTCGGTTAAGAAAGGACACTTTTGGCGAACGACAAAACTACAGTAATAATATAAATTATTCTCTGAGCAGAAATGCTTCAAAAATCTCACTTCAAGGACAGTATGCCCATAAAACCCAGAAAAGTGTGAGACTGATGGCATGTGTGTTGGAAATAAATCCTTACAAAAACTTGGATTGGTAAGAAAAGAATTTTATTAACAAAAATAAAAGGAAACAAAAAAGGCAGTTTGCAAAGTGCGGTGAGCTTGAGCAAGACTTCAACTGTAAGTTCTAGCCCAAAAACACACTCCTGAATTCAAAAGTAAGGGGTTTTATAACCGGTCCCTAACACGACGCCCCTTTCCCTCGCCTTTGGTCCCATTGGATAGGTCCTCAGGGGTTTCAACTAATCTGAGGCCCTATTAAGAATACATTAGCCCTCCCCCACCCTCCTGCCCTCATGCAGTTGCAGTTTTAATCCCCAGCTAACGGTCATTATTTATTTTATTTTTGAATTTTAGCATTCCCTACATGTGTATCCTGTGATTACACACAGAATCAAACAGATGAAAACTTTACATAATGCTTTATTGTAAGACGCAGGTCCCCAAGAAAAGGCTGGGCAGGGCTAATTGCAGCCTCCAAGCCCTTCCACGTGGGCGCAGCCATCTCCAGAAATCTTGGGAGCTCAGTCTTTACAGCTGCCAAACAGCTGTTAAAGTTCATAATACAGTTCATACTCCCCTCTAAAGGATTTTGCATTTATTTGAATTATGAGCTGCTTCAGTGTGGATGTTCCGTTACTTGTCCCAGCTTCTGCCAACCTAGCAGTTTGAAAGCACATAAAAATGCAAGTAGAAAAATAGGGACCACCTTTGGTGGGAAGGGAACAATGTTCTGTCCACCTTCGGCATTTAGTCATGCCGGCCACATGACCACAGAGACATCTTCGGACAGCGCTGGTTCTTCAGCTCTGAAAGGGAGATGAGCACCGCCCCCTAGAGTCAGGAACCAAAGGTAGTCCCTATTTTTCTACTTACATTTTTATGTGCTTTCGAATTGCTGCAAAAGCCAACAAGTAACGGGAGCTCACTCCGTTATGCGACACTAGGGATTCAAACCACCGAACTGCTGACCTTTCTGATTGACAAGCTCAGCGTCTGAGACACTACGTCCCTTATGGCATATAGGATTAAATAGAGTACAGGTGAAACTTGAAAAATTAGAATATCGTGCAAAAGTTCATTTATTTCAGTAATGCAACTTAAAAGGTGAAACTAATATGTGAGATAGACTCATTACGTGCAAAGCAAGATATTTCAAGCTGTGATTTGTCATAATGATTATGGCTTACAGCTCATGAAAAACCCCAATCCACCCTCTCAGAAAATTAAAATATTGTGAAAAGGTGCAATATTC